CTTCTTCGGGTGCAAATTGATTTGTGAAAATACTTCAACTCTATTTCACTCATTTGACCTTCAATTGCATTCAATTGATCATATGTGATCTTCAATCATCATTTTATGGTTCGAATCAACTATTAAATGTTTCCCCTTTGCTTCCAAACTTTGGATTTCTTTCATTTTTGCCATTTTGATTTTTTTCCCTAATACCAACAATTTGCATTGAGTTCAACCTAACAAATATAATTAATACATAATTAAGCTTTAACTCGTTTAATTCACTAAGAAATACTCAAATTTAATGACCTAGATAAGTGTACAAAATACAACTATCAAACACCATGATGATGGAATTTCAATTTATGAAAGTAAACAAAAAACCCCTGAAAACATATATAAATAGGGTCATTTGTTAAACTATAAAAGGATTGAAAAATCTAAATTCCAAACTTCTACTCTTTAGAAAAGTCGCCTTGAATCAAGGAGAATTAAGAGCTAGCATTCTTGAAAATGCAAATATTCTCCAATTGAATGGTACTTCTCGGGCAAAATAATGTTGAAATCTCATTCTATTTCTTCTTACTATACATTTTTTTTCTGAAGCACACCCAAAAACCCCAAGAATTTGGCTAGTTGTATAATCGGTGTTAACAATCTACTAATAGAAGGGGGGTTATGATTTTTTATTCATCGTGGGCCCCTTCCATGTGTGTAGTTGTCAACCTCGATTGTATATATAGCATGCCCAAAACCCCAAACATTGCCACAATTTCGATAGAGAACTTCACCATTGGCTTTAAAAATAATTTTCAATTTTTAATGTTAACAATAAAGACATGCAAACAAATAATAATTTACCAAATTTGATATAAATTTTTCTTCAATAGTTACAACAAATTATTATTCTAAAATATTGAATTATATAAAAAAATTGTTTGTCATGAGCTATAAAAAAACATTCTTCTAAAATTTTAGATCTTATAAAGTTACGATCCTCATGTGTAAGTAATATTCTCCTGAAGTATTAATTTACATAATATAAATCGTGTTTTTCAAAGGGCAACAATGAAATATTCTACTAGGATATTGATAGAATTATAAATTTGTAATTTTCAAGAAAAAGAAATCATATTTTACTATAATAGTAATTTTTATGCTTTTTCATGAAGCATATTACAATACTCTTATAAACATTGATATATAAAATTCTTTAATCTTCAAGAGCTATATAATATTTTTATAAATATTGATTTTTAAATTATTTTTGACAACGAAATAATCTTTTGAAGTATATAAATATAGCAACAATGCAGTATTCTTCTATAATTGATATTGCTGTAAGAGTAGTGATACAATATTCTTCTTGAATTATATTTTGATCAAATATATTCAACCAAGCATATGCATCATGTCATTAATCGACAAACGATATAACCAAGTTGAATAACATATATCCATTTGTTGTTATACTAATAGATATATTAGATCCTACTCACCTTTTCCTTTTTGAACATAAAAATATAATATATTGCTACATCAATTAGATAGAATTTCGTGTTTATCTGAATCACTTTTGATAACTCCGTTGACTAAAGCTTCAGATCGATACCGTTCATAAATAAGATAGAAAAGAGAGAATAGAACATAGGGAATTAAAACCCTTGTATATATATTATCAAGAATCAGTGCTCCATATTTTAAATTGAGAGTTTTGCAGGGTATTTTAATTATACTAAGAATATTTTAATTATAACAAATAATGTTTGTCGACGAATGCGTTCCACAAACATAGCTCTAATTTAAGCTATACTGCCATCTTTGAAAAAGTCAAGATGAGAAAGTTATAGGATCTCAGCGCTTGACTTGCCCAACGCGTCTTAATTGTAATTAACGAAGCATTTTTTCTTTTTTTTTCTTTTTAGGGTATTTTAAAGAGTTTCAATTTTTTCCATTATTGTTATATTAATAAAAAAAATTACCTACCACTTGACATGTCGTAACTTTTGGTTCAAGACCAAGGCCCGTCGGAAATTGGTTTTCTATTCGTGCCCTCGTTTACATGGTAAATTACAACATTGTCCTTGTTAGATGTGGTTAATTGTACAAATGCACTAGAGGGTAGATAGGAAAACACAATATTATCTTAAAGTACAGCTTACCATTCGAGTAATAAAACTACATGTCACTCTTCAAGGGTGGCCCTAGTCAGTATACTGTTGAAAACATTGTTTTCCATCCAAAATAATGGATATCATACAGACGCGAAACAATTCATGTATATCCATCCAATTTGAGCTTTCATGAGCAAGATTTTTCATAAGAGAAGGAAACAAAAAAAAGTACAATTCTAGTAAAGTTTCAAGAAAGAAAGTTCCTATTTTTCAAGATTTCATACAATTCAGATTTTTTCTGAAACACTGGAGTAAGGACATCTCTAAGAGATTCTCTATTTATAAAAAGTATCTTATACATAGAGAGTAATTTTTTATACAGTTCAACAATGCTTTTTATTTTGATTCTTTATTTTATTTTTTCAATAAACATTTCTGGTGTGTTTGATAGCAAATATGAAACTTCCATAGAAAGAAAATAAGTTTTAAGTAATTAAATTGTCTATAACTTATTTATATGAAAGTTATCAATTAAACATATTTGATTAGCTTAATTTCCAACATAGAAAATGTTGTACTTTTTTCATGAAGTTGAGTTTTCAGGAAATGTGAATTGACTAAAAAAAAAACGTCCTCCAATAAAGAAAAAAAATTTCTTATTTTTGAAAAAAATATGATCATGTGACCAACTTTTGAAAAATATTTTTCATAGAAAAATGTCAATCAAACATTCCAAAAATTGGAACTTGGATAGAAAACTGATATTTTTTTTATAGAAAATAAAGTAAATTGATTTACAATAATCTCTCATTATAATTTTTTATACGTTAATGCCAATCAGTTTAAATGTAATTTGAATAATTAAATTAGAGAGTATTTAAATTCGTAATTTAGTCAATGCAATCATTGTTATTTAAGAATAGAGAGTTGGACAGCTATACCTACTTATTTTAAAAAATTAAATTAGAAAATTTCTTGTAACTTATTTTAAGTAATGATTTCTAAAATAAAGAGTATTTTGCGTTTAGAGAATTACTTGGATGCTCTAAGAATATATTTTATACCAATGATATTACAAATTTTCTATTTTAATGTTCATTGTACAGTTTAAATATTGGAGCTAGCCCCAAGAGAAACACGATAATTATTTGGGTCACTTGCTGCAAGGTCCTTGAATGCTCATAACTACGTAAACATGTGGCCGAGTTTGACCATGGCAATGATGTAGCTCCCGATGATATAATTCCTATCGAGATAATGGGGTTGCATTATTATTATAATTTATATTATGGCCACAAATTTGTAGGTAATTTATCTTGTTGGGTGTAACTCATTTATACTCATTTCTCTCATTTACACTTTAGTTATTTGACGACTTTGTTTTGAGGTTGCAGAGGATGATGCATTGGAAAAAATAGGAGGTGCAATAAACCAAGAAGATATAAAGAGAAGAAAACTTGGTACTTTAGGAACTTTTAGCATTTTAACCCTAGAAAGTAACTTTTAGCATTTTAACCCTAGTATGTAGGATATTAACGAGTTGAGTTGAGCTAGCTTGTGAGTTGAAACTCAAGGCTCGGACTTGGCTCCAGTAAAATTAAGTTGGACTTTTTTTGGCCCAAGTCGAGCCAAGTTGAGCAATAGCTTGGCCAAAAAATTGATATTCAAACCGAGCTTTCGGCTTGGATCTTACCAGATCGAGCTGGGCTAAGCTGAACTGGCCCATTTTTATTTTTTTTTTCAGCACAAAAAATTGCCTGTGTGCTACCTTACCTTAAGGCAGTAAGTATGCACTGCCTATTTGAAGGCATCTGTCTTTAAATAAAGCAGCGCACTGCTGCCTTTAAAAAAGCAGCCACACAGCTGCTCCATTTTTTTTCTTCGAGCAGCCCCGACGAGCCACATGAACCGAGCCCGAGCCGAACCTGCTCGGACATTTTTCTAACCGAGCTACAGACGGTCCGAACCGACGAGCCAAATTACCATATCCCTACCAATATGTATGTGTTATATTATGTTGTAACATGCAATTATTTTATAAATTTCTGCTTATTACTCATATAACAATTTTCTCCTCCAAACAAACCTTTCTAAAATTTTTAACTTCAATATTATATGAAATATTAAATAAAGTAATGGCCAACATTATGTACCAACAGGCACTTATAAAGATCTAATGATCACATATTTTAAAAATAGGATACAACTAATACAACTCTATGTTCCATGCCCCACTTGTCCTCTATCGTTATTACTCAAAATTTCAAGTAATTAGACAACTGCCCACATAAGCCCCATCAAAAACAAGTTGAAATAAACTACAATAATGCACAAAACTAAGCTAAGAGCAATGATTACGCTGCCGCATTAAATCTGACTTTTAATCTATATCAAGATAGAGAAATCAAACAGAGCACACTATAATGATTAAAGGAAAACTATAAAAAGAACTAAAGCCAATTCGGAGTGATCAAATCACAGAAAATTGACTGCTTATAATGGAGACTTCCACCAATATGTTAACTAGCTTTAATTTGAAGATAACTTTTTACACAAAATTGGAATCTTTACAAGTACTGCTACTAATTAGCTTTTGTCTCCGATTGGTACACATAAAAGTAACTTATCTTTATTTCACAGGGCATAATTAGATGGCATGCTATCATTGAAAAATGTAGATACACTAAAAGTCACAATTTCGAAAGGGTATTTAAAAAAAAAAAAACAATAAGAGAATGACTATTAAGGTTCGAAAAGGTTCAAGAGCTCAACGAAGTGTTCCCCTTCTCACTCCTTTGAAGAAGGATATTGTTGTTTGTATCATTCACTCCTTGTACGTGAGTGTGCTATGAACCATGATATGAACAATGTCATACCCATAACATAATTCTTCGAAGAATACAACTAAGATATCAAAAAGAGTAATTCTACACGTGCAAATTGTTCTTCATCTGTTGGCTTTACAATTGCAACACTCTCCCCTCTGCTATCTCTAAAATAATATGCCCCTCCAAGCCCACCATGTGCAGGGATGGGATCAACCCCATACTTCATTGCCTTGACGATTTTCTTAACAAGTTGTTTCATCTTAGCAAAGCAAGTTGAGTTCCCCAATATCTCTATTGGGTCGCTCTGATCTCTCTGTTGGATGTCCCTTCCAGTGGGCGACAGACAGGGAGTTGATGAGCTTCTATGAATCAAGTTCCGCGTCAGAAGAAGAGGGGAATCATTCCGAATGGCACTGAGGTCATTCTTTAACACCATATCACCGAATGTCAAGGAACTCTCCTCAGTAGGAAAGTTTAGGGCAATCTGCAACCTCCGCTTCACAGTATGTACATTATCCCTCCGGTCCAATTCCATCCCGAACACACAGCCCATCTCAGTCTGTACAAAAACACGTCTCCTTCTAGCTGGTTTCCCTTCTGTCCTGTTGGGTCCGTGGCACTCTCCACTTCCAAGTGGACTCTTGAAGACTGCCACGGCCATCTGGGTCTGAACAGGGCTATCCAAGTTACGTGACATGAACAGAAGAGTAATATCGATAATGGTTTTTCTTGCAAGCGGCAAAATAGATGGCGGCAGAAGAGAGATTCTCCTGTAATCTCAATTGAACGCCAAACTCACAAGCTGATTGCAATTGAAATGAGTAAAAATCTGATCCTACAACCATCAATCAGAAAAACTGGACCTTAAAGGCCACCCACCGATGATGCCAGAAAACAAAACAAAGCCCAAGCTGATATATATGAATGCCCACAGGAATTTTTAACGATACTACATGGAGAGAGCCATATGATGTTTCATATAAAGCAACATACCACAATCTGTACCGAAACAAAAATAGTGAGAAAAGATTCTTCCCAGCCTAAAACATTCAAAAGCAGACACCAACCATTCAAGATTTCTCGTTCATGAAGGATAATAGAAATATACATCAAAAGCAATGTGTTTTACAAGTATTTACAAAAGAACAAAATGTCATTTTATCAAGAACTACCAAAATGTAAACACCGATTAGTATATTTCTTGAATTACCTTTCCAGGACACACTCTGCAAGACTAAAAAGCATAATAGAATTTGTTATATGTTACATGATATCTTGAAAAGCAAATAAAGGACCAGCACCGGCTGGTTTTTAATTTTGATTTATAACATATTCTTGAGACGTAAAAAATCGTAATACACATAGATTATATTCAATTCAAAGAAACTGATTTTATGTGTTCTTGTTACTTTGATTTTATTCATAACATTGATGTCGTTATACACTCGTTTTTCATATAAATGCCAAACCTAATCTTGATTATATAGGAAAAAATCCACTTTGATCACTCGACACTCATTTTATGCCACCAATATTTAATGAATCATTCACTAAATAAACAACATTGAAAAAACAAAACTAACCAAATTATTTCAATAATCAATTTACTCGCAAATAGTACCAAGAACTGGAAAAGTTAGCTTACCAGATGGTCAGATCTGAAAGATTTCGGCTTTGTTTCCGCGTAACAACACGACCGTGGAAGAAAACAAGTCTGAAACAATTTCAAACAATTTAACTGTCCGAATCTCGAATTAGCAGAAGGTTTAACGATTATGATTTTATCTTTCTTCCTCAAAACCTTCTCCCCTCCCTCTCTCTGTCTCTCTCTCTCTCTCTATATGTGCATGTATCTATCTGAATATATATCTGCGTTTTCATTATATTTATTGCTTTAACCTATACAGTTATTAAAATTACGCGTAAAGCGCTGTCGCTCTTAAACTTACCCTGGGTGTTTTATGTATATTTGGAAGACTCCGGAATGTCAAATTTTAGCCGTCGGAGTGAAAGTGATGGGTTGATCCTGGCCGTTGAAATTCTAGATGACATGGAGTTACATGCTTCGGTGGTGACGTGTCGTTTGGGCAGCGACTCAGGGGTCGGTTTTTATTATTTCTTGTGCACCAATACTATTTTTATGTTATGTAATGGACAGAAATATCCTCCACCTGGAGTTAGTACGAGGTTTGACTCGGTGCGTCGCGGGTGTACGAAAGAGGATGTGGTTCGTACATTTGGTCCTAGATTGTTGATCAAGATTTGAATTGAGGTCTTCTTTTGTAAGTTGTCCAAATGGCAAATGTTAAGAGTGGTGGGACATTCGAAATAAAACTCTCTCTCCTTTTTTGTTTTTTTTGTTTTTTAATTAGCTTTTAGAGGGAATAAAAGGACATTTATAGATTCCCCGATTGGTTTTGCTAAAAAAAAAATTAAATGAATTTTAGTTAATTTTGATAAAAGTTAATAAAATATGTAATTAAAAGTTGATAAAAATTGTGAATTACATAGAATGTGTAATCGAAAATTTTGGTAAAAAATAAAGTTTAAGAAATAGGGATCAAGCAATTGCTTATATTGAAGCTTTGTGTTGATTCTCAATTTTTTCAAAATATATTTTTCTCTTTCTTTTTAACCATACATTTTTTATTAAAATAATATTATATATAAATAAAAAAAAATCTTATTTTTCAATCACACAGTTTTCATCAATCTACTATTCTAAAATGCATTTTTCATAAAAAAAAATTTAAAAAAATGGGACTTAAACACGCTTTGAATATGATATTTAATAATGAGAAGTAGATAGGACGTAAGTTTTCGTCTTGTTATACTTTTCTTTTCTTTTTTTGCATCAATTTTGACATGGATTTATTATTATATCACATAAGATAGAGTTTTGTTGTTATATCAGGGTATGGGTTCATCCCTACTGACCCTCATAGCAGGTGGGTCCCGTATGGGACCCATTTGTATAAAAAATTGCCGAAAAATCCACCAATCCTTCATTTTGTGAGTACTTAGTAGGGGTTATGAACCCCTATCCTGTACCCCTAGCACTTCCCAACAAGATAATACAAAACCAAATGACGAATAAGATATTTTAGAATTCTGCATTTAATTGTTAATATACATAGGCTAGAGAGTTTAAGTGAATAGACGATTCTTCCTTTTAGCGAAAGTTGTTTCGTGCAAACGTAATTATTCATCAAAATTATTACTAATCTTCATTTCGTGCATTTTTTTCATCAATTGACGCTCTATGTAGAGGTTGTTGAGGGTGTGTTTGATTCCCATTTTATAGAGAAAATAGTTTTTGTAATGTGACTTTTTGGAGAATGTATTGTAAAAAAGTAGAAAAATATTTAAATTTAAGTGTAAAATTATTTTATGGGAGAACGTGTGATAGAAAATGAGTTTGAGAAAAAAAATAATTTTTTGAAAAATAGGGCTCAATAAGGGGCTAAATGAATTGTCTTGTATAGAAGATTTGTAAAAAAAGGTATTTGGACACGACTCTATCCCAACCCGACTCTACACGTTTAGAAGATTCAGGATTGGTCGATTTGCTTCATCCAGATATTTCATTCATGTTTATCTCAAATTTGCATTTGTATATATATATATATGCTTAGGTGTCTGATTTTTACCTGACTAATCCTGAGAAGTGACAACATTTCCCCTCGATTCCCTCCTCGGGTAAATTCGATTAGTTGCTCAAGTTTACCTCAATGTAAGGTGAGACTATTTTATGACTCATATGATTGAACAAATGGAGTTATGTCGATTGGACATAGCCCAATAAGTTATAGTTTGGATTTATTAGTCAACTTATATGTATTTCAATCAGTGTTCTAAAAAGAATAAAAATGGTTAGGCGTGGAGCCAAAGTTTCAAGTATTATGAGCTTAAGTGAGTTTAGGCGAGGATTAGGCATAAAAGAAAAGTTTTCTTATTTAAAATATTATTTTATATTTTTAATCATTTTTAAAAATTATTTAATAATTAAATTTATACATATTAAACATCTAAAATTATAAAATACAATATTTAATTAATAACTCCTACAATTAGACAATTATACAACTTCCAAGTTTTCGAAATGCAAAAATTAAAATATTTTTCATAATTTCAATTTTCAACTCAACAAATCATACTTAATAAATATATTGAAACTTCATGCATGGTTTTGGAGCTTGTAATAAAATATGTCTTAAGATAGTAATTACATAATGTAGATAACACCAAAATTGAAATCGTATTTAACTATTTAGATAAAGTCATTTTCAATTTTTTTTACAGATAATCTTTTAAAAACTTGAAATTAAAGTCAAATGAGTTTTTTTTTAAAATAATAATAATAAGCTAAAATCAAATAAAAGATTTTTAGAAAATATAAAAAACTAATAAAGTGCGTCTACAAAAAAACGAAAGAGATGAAGGAAAAAAATTCAGCTATTTGGGAATTGGAAAAAAAAAAAAAAGTGTCTAAGCGTGAAGTGTGACATTTTGCTTGAGCGCCGTCTATATGAGTTTTTTAGAACACTGATTTCAATCGACATACCCTAAACGTTCAACTCGTTACGCACGAATCGTTTGTATCTTAAAATTCTCTCTAATGTGTCGACTTATTAAGAACAATAACACAAACTCTTATATTCAGAGGTGGACGCAGATATTTTACGTTAGGGGTCACAATTAAATTTTTTAAAAAAAGTGACAAAATTTTTTTTATTCCTTTATATGGGTTATAAATTGTTATACTACTTTTTCATTTTAATTATTTTTACATCTAAAATTTTTTTTATATATAAAAAAAATTGATCATTTTTAGGATTTTTTTTTTATTTTGTTACGTTTTCCTCCCAATAAATTAATTTTTTTAAAATAATCTAATAAATTTTCTAATAGAATTTTTGACGTCATTTGAAAAAAAAAATTAATTGATCGAGAGGAAAAGATAACAATAATAAAAAAAAACCTACAAATGATTGAAATTTTTTATATATAAAATTTTTTTAGTTATAAAAATAATCAAAATGAAAAAGTAGTATAACAATTTATACTCCCAATGAAGTAATAAAAATTTTTACGTCCAAAAAAAAAATAAAAAATTTACGTCATACCACATATAAAATTTCCTAATAAAATGATGTGAATTATATTGAGAAATTTTTCGCGCAAAAGTAATAAATATTAATAAAATAATAATTTTTTTTAAAAAAAAACGAGTTATACGTCTCCTTTTGACATACACGTTTGACATATGTTTAACTATTTTCGATATTCATTTAAATCATTCGATATGTTTATGATATAATTCTCGAAATAAATTTCGAAATGATATAGAAGATTTATGGATATGACTAGCGTATAATCGTCGAAATTTTTTTAAAATTAGCTTGTTATCGAAATTCTCGAAATATTAGTTTGAAACTGCCTATTTTGACACGTCATAACATTTGCTACGATTAGTCATTTCGCACAACATTAACGACATGAAAATGTTAGGCTATGAGTACTTCAAAATAATATTAAGAAAGTAATATTTCAATTTCTTTTGATATTTCATAGTGAGCCCAAAAAAAAATCCTTATATTTTAATTATTCTTTCAATAATTTGTATTTTTAACACATCTCTAAAAGATCCTATCTCATTTGAAAACATTACTAAAATCCCACTTAAATTAAGGTTTTAATTTTGCAACGAAAGGGTAGGGGCCGGCAGTGTGAGTAGAAAGCGGCACTGGCTGTGAACTTTGTTTGCACAAGGACATGCAGGACGGCTATCGTATATTCTTTGGTCTCCACTTACGAATTACCAATTTTGTCCCCCCGTAGACATTCACTGTACCTGGTCACCGTATCACATTATTGTACATATACGGTCAACCAATCAGGCGCCGACGTGTGGTCCCTTTAATTACTTTTTCTGACCTGTCGATTTTATCCTGATTCTTGTCACGTCTTAATTTTGGGACCCTTTTACTGTTCATTTCGTTTCCTATTCTCAATCGTCAATAGTTTTAAAGCGATGGCAACTTGGCGTTACGGATGGTAACGGCTCTCTTAGTCTTCTCTTCCATTAATAATTGCGCGTCAGGATCGAAATTAATGTATGTATACACACACACTGGCAGACCTACCCAACAAACAAAAATGAATTTTTTAATTTTTATATAAAATCGAAAATGAAGTAATGTAAAAAGTAAAAACCCTTTCAATTTCGAATTGAAAGAATCCCTAGCCGTCCAAACTATCAAAATCCAAATTCCAATCCAAAGAAACTTAATCCAAATTGAAATTCAATGCAAAAAACCGTTCCACTCCCAATTCAATATCGACTCTTGGCTTTATAGTTTCCAATTCCAAACTTCGAAGCAAAACTTAGCAATTTGATCCACACCTACCGACCATACTTGATCCGACTCCCTCCGTCGATAATTCAACCACCTCAAACGGCAAAATAAGACAGCAATATCGTGCACCACTAACTTCAATAAAAATCTGAGTGGGTTCTGAATAGTAACAATATTTTCTATCCTTGCCCTAATTTCTCGACTAGCTAAAGAATTCATGCCCAATTTGTAGTGAGGCTACACAGAGATTGAGCATTGTTCAATAACTATGGTTCTATAAGTCGCTCCCAAGTTCAGACGTTGTGCACTAACTTGTTTGGATAAACTGAAATATGGTGAAGAAGTAAGATTTAATTTGGAATTTTGGATCACTATTCTATTTCTTGTTTTTTATTTTATGAAGGCTGCGTCACTATTTTAAATTGTCAAGAATCTTCAAATAAATACATAAAATTGGTGAATTATAAAGTGAACAGAGGAACGTGCTTTTAGATCAAATAATCTGTG